TCAATCTTTTATCAGTTTGATTCATGGGCCTAGGCAATGAACCTAGGAGAGTAGAGAAAAAGGTTGACTTTTCTCCCTACGGAACTGAAAAGACCTCCTGTGTTTCAAAGTTACCAAAGGGCTGATCCAGACCTCTGTCCTCAGACTGTAGCTTCCTCCACAGGACTGTACTTTCCATCATAATGGTTTTGCAGACTTCCCTAAAAAATTGACTTAAAGTGGGTCAGCATGCCTGGGCCATTTTGAGATGATTTATTGAAGTTGGAGATGTTGGTTCATGTTTTTCAACACAAAGAACAAGATTTTAAATTGCTGGTGTTTAAAAGCTGAGGTGCTTTTGTTATTCCTTTATTAAAAAATGATGAGCGAATATAACTCAGAAAGAACTAAGTCTTAGTGCAGATCTCTGTATAGAGTAGGTGTTTAATACCTTTGGAAGTTATTACATTTTGAATGTCATAACAAAAATGACTGGGCAGCAAGGTGACACCCTGAAGATGGGAGATTTAATAGAAATTTCATCTCAAGCCCAAGGACAGAAGTTCTACCAAGCCCAAGTTCATTTAGTGAGCATTAATGATTTAAAAATTTTTAAGATTTCTTGGTGCGAGTTATCAGCACATACTAAAAGTAAAAATGTGCTATTTTTAAGATTTCTTGGTGCGAGTTATCAGCACATACTAAAAGTAAAAATGTGCCTCATTTAATGACAATCGGACGGTATCTGTAGATTTCAGAATTTCTACTTTCATTAATGTTTTTAGTCTTTGTTTACATTTCACTAAACAACACAGAAGGAATCAATTTAAGGCAGAGAGCCAGAAACACAGATAGGTTAGATGATATCTTGATTTTATTTGAGCTGAATATATTTTGCTAAATACATTTTTGTAAGAGCAAAAATAAATGAATTCATTTAAAAGTACTGGTCTACCTAACCATGGGGTCTCACCATACACACCAAGTGTTTCTCTGTGAAAGAGAAAATACAAACAGCTTTTATGAGTATGTGTTAATAACATATTGGGTCTGCACTGTGGCAATCTGGGCTATGCAGCCATCACCAAACCTCCTTGGAGGAGGCCTAAACTGTCAAGGAAGGCTGTGTGATGTAGCCTCATAATGTGGATTTTCCACATCATATACTCAAGCCTTTCATGGTTCAAATCCTCAACTCCCCATAGTAAATTTAAAATTTACATATACGCTTTTTTAAAATTAATTTTTAAAAATTTATATGACAGTAGAATACATTATAATTTATATTAAACATATATAGCTCTGCTTTTCATATCTCTGGTTGTATACAAAGTATATGCACACCAATTAGTGTCTTCATACATGTACTTTGGATAAAGATGACCATCACATTCCACCATCATTTCTAACCTCATGCCCCTTCCCTTCTCCTCCCACCCCTCTGCCCTATATAGAGTTTGTCTATTCCTCCCATGCTCCCCCTCCCTACCCCACTATGAATCAGCCTCCTTATATCAGAGAAAACATTTGGCATCTGGTTTTTGGGAATTGGCTAACTTCACTTAGCATTATCTCCTCCAACTCCATTCATTTACCTGCAGATGCCATGATTTTATTCTCTTTTATTGCTGAGTAATATTTCATTGTGTATAAATGCCACATTTTTTTATCCATTCATCTACTGAAGGGCATCTAGGTTGGTTCCACATGTAGCTATTGTGAATTGTGCCGCTATAAACATTGATGTGGCTGTGTCCCTGTAGTATGATGTTTTTAAGTCCTTTGGGTATAGACAGAGGAGTGGGATAGTGGGTCAAATGGTGGTTCTATTCCCAGTTTTCCAAGGAATCTCAATACTGCTTTCCAAATTGGCTGCACCAATTTGCAGTCCCACCAGCAAAGTATGAGTGTGCCTTTCCCCCACATCCTCACCAACACTTATTGTTGTTTGTATTCATAATAGCTGCCATTTTGACTGGAGTGAAATGAAATCTTAGAGTAGTTTTAATTTGCCTTTCTCTAATTGCTAGTGATGATGAATATTTTTTCTTATATTTGTTGATTGATTATATGTCATCTTCTGAGAAGTTCTGTTCACGTCCTTGGCCCATTTATTGATTGGGTTGTATTTTTGGTGTTTAGTTTTTTGAGTTCTTTATATACCCTAGAGATTAGTGCTCTCTCTGATGTGAGAGGGGTAAAGATTTGCTCCCAAGATGTAGTCTCTCTATTCACCTAACAGATTGTTTCTTTTGCTGAGAAGAAACTTTTTAGTTTGAATCCATCCACATTTATTGATTCTTGATTTTAATTTTGCACCACAGCAGTCTTATTAAGGAAGTTGGGGCCTAATCCGACATGATGGAGATTATGGCCTACTTTTTCTTCTATTAGCTGCAAGGTCTCTGGTTATATTCCTAGATCCTTGATCAAAAGCACTATACAGATTTAATGCAATGCCAATCAAAATCCCTTATTCCTTATAGAAATAGAAAAGGCAGTCATGAAATTCATCTGTAATAATAAGAGACCCAGAATAGCTAAAACAATCCTTAGCAAGAAGAGTAATGCAGGTGGCATCACTATACCAGACCTTAAACTATACTACAGGGCAATAGTAACAAAAACAGCCTGGTATTGGCACCAAAACAGACTAGTAAACCAATGATATAGAAGACACAGAGTCTAACCCACAAAATTACAATTATCTTATATTAGACAAGGTGCCCAAAACAGGCATTGGAGAAAAGATAGCCTCTTTAACAAATGGTGCTGGGAAAACTGGAAATCTATGTGCAACAAAATGAAATTAAACCTCTATCTCTCACCATGCACAAAACTCAACTCAAAATGGATCAAGGACCTAGGAATAAAACCAGAGACCCTGCATCTAATAGAAGAAAACAGTAGGCCTGAACCTTCATCATGTGTGATTAGGCCCCAACTTCTTAATAAGACTCCTATACCATAAGAATTAAAATCAAAAATCAATAAATGGGATGGATTCATACATACACACTTAAATCAGCAAATGAGGTAATTTCCCTCCCCTTCCTTTGTTTCTTTGTGTTTCTGTCTGTCTCTCTCTCCCTCTTTAACCCTTCCTCTCCACGTCTGCCTCTTTCATAAAGAAGGTGTTTATGACAGTCAGATGCATTCACTCCATATACTGCTTAGGAATGCCTGGTTTGGGGTGAGGCTGCCTCCAGGCACTGGGGTGCAGAGTAATTTGGTTGCTTGTGATGGGCTTCACTTTGAGTGATCTTAACTTCTGCTAATAGGATGCATGACATAGGGTACAATTCCTACTCTCCTTCAGCACCTACTATTATTCCTACTCCTTCAGCACCCAGGGCCTATGGACCTTGGCTTTGATGGTCAGCTTTAAGCTAGAGCTCAGCTGGATGTGTCAGACACTCCTTTCCACTCTCAGCTGTCACCCAGCACCGGAACACTAGCCCTCTCCTAATACTGCAGAGCCACAGGCTGTTCGTCTCTGGCTTTGCCCTTTCCTAAGGCCAAATTGCAGGAGTCAGTGCTTGCATTAATTTCTTCTTCTCTCTTCTTGATCACCAAATCTTTTATCTATAATCATTGTCAACAACCCATTTTTATCAAAGCAAGGTAAGACTTTGCCTCTTGGGTACCCTTAAGACCCAAGCCTTATTGCCTATCTGGCCCTTGAAGGCTTTTGTGTTTTTTGGTCCAATAACAACAATAACAATGAAAAAAAAAAAAAAAACACCAAACCTGAAAAATCAATAAAAGAAGACCAGTTCCCTTTAATAATATGATGAAGGAGTCTATCAAAACACAAGGAAAAATAAATGGAGTAATATTATGGTCCCCTGTCCTGAGATAAGGTAATGACTTGTGGACCTGTCATTATTTAGAGTCTCGCTAGGATTAAAACTTGTTATAACAGTTATATGCTGGTGAAAATCTTATAAGGAAAACCTTTATTTTTTAGTTCACTGTTTTTAAATTCTATTTTTTTTTTAATTTGTTCTGATTCGTTATACATGACAGCAAAATGCATTTTGACACATTGTACACAAATGGAGCACAGCTCCTCATTCCTCAGGCTGTACCTGGTACAGAGTCACACCAGTAGGGTAATCATACATGTATATAGGGTAATAATACCTGTCTTATTCTACCGTCCTTCCCACCCCCACACACCCCCACTCCCCTCTACACTAACCAGTTTTAGTTCACTTATTTTTAATCAGAATATTAGTTGAATTCAGTAAAACAAGTTTTTAAAAAGAAGATTGATTCAAATAAATTACCAATTAGTGTCCAGAAGTTTCCTCCAATTATAGCTAATACTTAAGGGATACTTCTGATTAACTCCTCTCATTTCACAAAAACCTTTTGAAGTAAGTATTAATGTTATCTGAATTTTACAAAGAAAGAACCTGGAGATTAGTGAGATTAAGAGACACAGTTTGTAATTTGGAAAACCCTCTACAACCCAAGTCTTCCTGTGCCAAATTGTAACTGTTTATATTCTGTACTACCTCTTTTTATTTTATAATCAATAAAATCTGATTTTTAATACTTTTTAAAAAAGTTTTAAACAGACCTTTATTTTATTTATTTTGAGAATCGAACCCAGTGCCTCACACATGCTAGGCAAATGCTCTACCACTGAAACACAACCCAGTCGCTCTGTACTACCTGTTTATGTGCAGATAACAACAGATTTAAAAAGGAGAAGAAAGGTAGATTTGCATTGTAGCATTGAAATTATTATTTCAGTGATTTACTGAGTTGCACAATATTCAAAAAGACAAAATGCAACTATGCTCATACTTCTACTCTTTGCATATTTATACAAATATTATATATTTATACTTGAAAGAATTTCACGAATCTTCTATGAATACCAATTCTTGAAGTATTTGCCTTTTACAAATGGAATGAACAGTTTTAACTTTTAATGAATTTATTTATATCTACTTAAAATGCAACATTTAGGTTTTCTGATTTTCTTTGTCTCCGAATCTCTTTACCAGGGCCAACGTCTTTTTGAAAAACTGCTCCAGCTGACTTCGCAAAATATTGAAATCAAGCTAGTGAGTGATGTGACGGCTGATTCAAAGGTATTAGAAGCCTTGAAATTAAAGGGTAAGGCCAAGGTTGATACGCTACTTTACCACTGGGTATTCTGCTTAAAATACCTTAAATTTCACTTAAAATAATATATAATTTCTTTATAATCGGTACACTTCTTATTTCTTCTTTGAAAAATAGCCTGATTAAAGCTTTTAAATGAGGAAACTAATTAATCAATATTACTGGGATTTTTAAATATATTTTTCACATTACTCTATGCAAAGTAATCTACTGGCTATTAATTGATAATTAATTGGTAAGAAGAATCTTTCTTCTCTAAACACTTCAATGATGTAATTAGAAAAAAAGGATCACTTCCCATTAGAACAAACAGTCATTTCTGTTTTTCTCTTGCCCATCAAATGAAAATCCTCTTTATGCTACGTATTCTTTAAAAGAATAAAATTAGGTCTAGAAGTCTATAGAACACTGTCTAATTCCACAGGGGAATGCTACTCCCATGGCCATTCTGCAATTGGTCTCGCCGTCTCATGAAGACTGTATCTTTCTCTAACTGAACTCTCACTTCCAAATAGTTTTTAATTATTTGTAAAAGTTTTTATCCAGAATTTACTCTCTGAACTGTAAGCCTTTAAAAACGTACTGGCGCCTGAGAACCGGTGAACATACCCAAGCCACCAGGTGTCTTTGAGTCTCAGGGGTTATCTGATGGCCTCATATCCCCTGCTTCTGCTGTTGGAACATTCTGGGCATGTCCACTTGTCTTCCCCACGTCAAGTGAAAATACCTTCTAAAATATGGGACAGATTGGAGTAAGTGGACCAAGTAGCCTGTCCTCCTGCAGAAGGAAAATGTGAAGTGATAAAGAACATTAAATGACACAAACAGAAGACATAAGCTTAGCCAAGCAAATGAACCTTATGCTAGTCAGCTTTGTGGCATTGTTACAAAACACTTGAGATCGATAATCAATTTAATAAGGTTTATTGAGGCTCACGGTGTGAGAGGCTTCAGTCCATAGTCACGTGACCCTGTTGCTTTGGGCCTGTGGTGGCACAATATCATGGTGGGAACATGTGGTGGAGGAGGCCTATTCATCTCAAGCAGATAGGAAATGACAGAGAGAGACAGGAAGAGGTCCAGGGTCCCAATATCCCCTTCAAGGGCACGCCCCCAATGCCCAATTTCCTCCTAATAGGCCCCACCTCTTAAAGGTTCCACCACCTCCCCATCATGCCACAGGCTGGTGATCAAGCCTTTAACAAATGGTCCTTGGGGGGATCCTTGTCCAAATCATATAGTGAACCTGTCATCATTCATAGTATTTGATTCTGTACATAGGAAAACAAAGAAAATGTTATGAGATATTGTCTGGTCTAAAAACAGTTTCACTGTATTACTTGAGAAGCATATCTGTGTGTCAGGAGAGGGACGCTGGGGATTAAATCCATGGATACGTCACCATGGAGCTACACCACAGCCCTTTTTATTTTTTATTTTTGTGACAGGGTCTCTTTAAGTTGCAAAGACTGACCTGGAACTTGTGATCCTCTTGCCTCAGCTTCTGAGTAGCTAGGATTACTAGCTGGGATTATACTCAGCAACAGCAAAAGGTTTTTGAAAAACCAGAGAGTATCTGGTTCTGTGGATTGACATACAGAGTCATCATGGCTTAGAAATGTATTATTATTTTTCTCACAGCATACGAAATTGGGTCCCCACAGTCTGAGAATCAACCATCCCCACCTTCTCAGACTGTGGCTTGAAGGTAGGATGGCTTTGAAACACAATTCCCATGAAGTCTTTGAATCAGGGAGGGATTTGATTTTACACAAGGATTCCTATAAATTCAGAACAGGTTTTACTAATTGTTTTCTTAATCTCACTTACAAACCACCTCCATCTGCATTCCCTCATAAACATATCAAATGCCATATGTTCATTTACCTCACTTGGGGCTTCTCTCACCTCCCAGCCATAGCAGCAATTGCCCCTTTCTCTGAGGTTCTAAATGGCCAGTCGTTCAGATTCCACATTTAAAATATATTTGAACACACACACACACACACACACACACACACGATAGAATGTTGTTCCTCAGTCTTTCTCCTAGATATCACCTTTTCTTCTCAACTGCCACTACTCCATTTCAGAACTTTAATAATTTTCTGAGGCTTTGCCCTACCATCTGATCTCCAAACAGCCAGAGATTTTCCGTAACATGATGATTTCCCACTTCCAGCCCAACCTAAACTGTATGCATGTGTGAGTGTGCCTCAGTGTTATGCAGAAATGGCTGTTGAAGAATAACAGACATGAAATAAAGGGCACAGTGGTAAGCAAACCATTCAGTGAAGTTTTACAAAATATACATATCTGTATGACCCACTGCAAGTGTCTCAGAAAGTTATATCACTCATTCTTGTGGTCACTACCCTCTGCAGAGATAACCAGTCTTTCAACTTCTACCTCCACCACTTGTCTTTCTTTCATATTTATATTAATAGGATCACAGAGTACATGTTCTTTTATATCTGGGTTCTTTTGCTCTATTTCAGGTTTATAAGACCCATACATGTTGCATATAGTAGTATCTTTCTTTTACATTGCTGTATAGTGTTCCACAGTATAAATATAATGCAGTGTATTTATTTTGCAGATGATAGAGATTCAGGGTTTTCCCTATTTTAAATTGTTATATGTAATACTACTATGAGCATTCTTGTAAATATCTTTTTGGCACTCATGTATACAAATTTCTATTGGATATTTACTCAATAGTAGAATTTCTGACAGCACAGAGACTATATGTATGTTAAACTTCGATAGCCAATGCCAATACTTTCCAATGGTTGTACCAGTTTATACTAACACAGGTGTACTCCATATTCTCACAAAATTTGATAGACTTTTTAATTTTAGCCATTCTGATGAGTACATGTTGTGTTGTTACTTTTCAATTTCCTGATGGCTAATGATGTTGAATATCTCATTTGCTTATTGACCATTTGAAACTACCTTAATAAGGTGCTCATTCAAGTATTTTGCTCAATGTGATTTTATTTTGTTTGYTATTCTCTGTTAGCCTGTTCTTACTTATTATTTGTCTAGATTTGAATCTTTTATTGGATATATGTGTCTTCTCCCATTTGGTACTATGTTTTCACTCTTCTAATTTATGCTTTAGATTATAAATCCTTAATTTTAATGAAACTGAATTTATTAAGTTTTTCTCTGTTATGAGTGCTTATTGCATTCTTTGTAAAAGATGTTTGTCATTACAAAGTCCTGAAAATATTCTCACTTGTTCTGTCCTAGATGTGGTATTATTTTACTGTTCAGATTTAAGTCTATTAGGTTAGGACTTAATTTCTGTATGGTGTGAAGTAGGGGTACTGGTTAATTTTTATTTATATAAAAGCTATTGATTAAAAAACTCTTCACTGCATTTCAGAAGCATCTTTGTTAGAAATTAGGTGATTATATGCTTTGGTCTCTTTCTGAATTCTCTGTTATGTTGCATTGGTCTACTTACATAGCCTAGGAGAAATGCCACACTGTTTAATTACTGTGGCTTTAAAATGCATGTTGTGGATGATCTAACATTTTCATCTTTGTTTTTAACCTTTAAAACTTCCTTAGTTGTCCTTGACCCTTCAGATTTAAAAATAAATTTAACTATCATTTTGCCACATAACTGCATAATATTACATTGATTCCAAGGGAGAACTGACATTAACAATATTGACCCTTTAGCTTCATGAATAAGAAAGGCTATAATATTTCCTCTTAGTGGTGCCTTAACTGCATCATTTGGGTTGTTAATATGACATAAATTTCTAAATTATTTTTCAATGCAATAAAGTGGCCTGATTTCTACTGCAATTTCTATTTTGAATCATGGGCTGTTTAGAAATGCAGTCCTTGCTTTTCAAACATTTGGGGGATTATTCTATTTACCTTTTTGTTATTTTCACTACAATCAGAATACAGACTTAAGTCACTTGAAATTTTTGGAAAATTACTTTGTAAAATTTTATTTCTAGAACAAATTACAAATCCTAAGGCTTTTTAATGCTTTCATTCAACTTTTTGGTTATGTTTTTGCATTTTGTTAACTCTTAGAGATGTCTTGGCCAGGGAGGTAGTCTAGAAAGCTCCGTTATCAGAGCTGAAAAGTGGAGTAAATGTGCAATGTCTGCTATTGCTATTTGCCTCATACATCATCCAAAATAAGAGGGAAGATCTTTTTTTTTTTTTTTTTTTTGGATCCTGCTGCTTCTTTCTTCAAGTGGGATGTGCCACCTGCTGCCAAAATTTGGCTTCTTGGGTGTGATCATGACAATTCTCTTATGTCCTGTTCTCCCTGCTAAGCAAGATGCCTCACTTCTCACCAAACCTGACCCTGGTAATATCACAGCAATATCCTTGAAATTTTATACTACTAATCAAATTTTTATTTTTGATTATATATTTTAGTCAGAACACAATATTATGTCTCAACAATGCCCCTATATTTTTCAGTCTTGTATTTTGCAATGAAATTTATAATTAAGAAGATTTATTTTTAATTGTCCATCAAAACCATGGCATTTTATAATATGACTACAATATTTAATGTTCCTGGACCCTATAAAAATAAAAAACAATGCCATAATGTATTTATTTCCTTTTTGGGAAAAAAAAAACACTTTTATTTGTTCCTGGTTGGATGGTAATTTTTTAATAGGATGACCAGTGAAATTAAAGTCATCAGAGATTTAAAGTCAGTGACCTGGAAGTAAAATCCATGTTTCTCTCCTTTTCTTCTTCTTTCTTTTCTTTCTTTCTTTTTTTAATGCATTTAAAACTATTCAGGATCAGAAATCTCCCTTTTGGTCTCATTCTATATACTATTATTAATTCTCCAAGCATCTGAAAGCTAGTTATGATTTCTCAAATATAACCTACGTTTAAAGGGTTCTGTTTCCTAAAGCCTGCTCCTCACTATGCCTGAAACCCTCTCCCTCTCCATGTCAATTTGTACATTCCTTTTCACTTTTCAAAGTTTC